TATCCAATGGTATGAGCTGTATTGTAGATGGGTTTGGGAGTCAGTTGATTTTCATTTATCTAATCAGCTCACTCCTGTGACATGATGCGGTAGGGGCTTATCCAATGGTGATTGTTTTAGTTGGGATTTAAAAAATAACTAAACAGCAGTATAAAAGCAGGCAGGGGATCTTTCTCCACCCTTCTTTGACTGGGTTTTGTTGATGAAACATTGTGCACTAGGGGAGGACTTAACCCTGCAAAGTAATTATTGCACTTTATGAAAACTGCAATAATTACAGTTGCAGGGTTAAGGGTAGTGGAAGTTGGAGTTGGAACCCAGACCACTCCAATTGGCAGAAGTGGTCTGGGTGCCTGGAGTGTCCCTTTAAGCCCTGACCTCAAACTCCCACTACTCCTGTACACATCAGTACAAACATTACTTTCTTACTATCCCAAATCCTTATGCACATTTAAGCAACTGAATGCTATTTGTAACATGTTTTTGTAGACTTCTGACACATGTAAGCTAAAACTGAACTCCATGAGTTTTATCTAAAGGGTAGAGAATAAAAACCCCCACACAAACATAATTTTTGTTAGTTTTATATTTTTCATGGTTATTCTTAGAGATCGTTTGATTCTAAGAATTCAAATAGGTATTATAAAACTATAAAGTTAGGAATACATGTTGATATTTCTAATGCTATAGTATTTCTTTAATCAATAAACAATGTGTTCTCATCAATTTTGTTTTAAAGAGTGGTTATCTCAGAAATTCTCCAAATTTCCTTTGAGTCTTGAAGGCTTACCACATGGTCAATTTCAATTTCACTTTGACTTGTGTGTTTCTAAAAATTAGCACATCCTTAGCAATGGAGCACTGTGTTAAAAACAGCTTTTCAAGCCAAAACATAAATTGTAAGCCAGAAGGACTAATCGCCAACCATTTATTTACTTTACAGTTTCAGCCATTTGGGTCTCATCAGCATGGTGTTGGTTCTAGTCTAGAAATGTAATCTGTGAGTAAATAACTATTAAAAAAAAAAACTGAGACAAAAAATGATAAAAATCCCTGCTGATTATGCAAATTCAGAATTTGCTGTTTTGCGTCAAATACATATTGCAAGTCATACCTTGGTAAATATCCGTCTTTAGTACAGCAATTTCAATAAATCATGTTTGGCTTGAAAAATGAAGAGATGCATTTTGTTTTTCTTTGTTTGCCAACATCTATTAGTTTTAAATTTGCTTTGAAAACATTGCATGAATGAATCACATCTTCAGAAAGGTGGGTGGATATTGTGTACTTTCCTCCATATTTTACTATTTATTTTCAGAACAAGGGCTCCCTCTAGTGCATATTTTTGTTTTCTACAATTGTTCAAATACTAAAACAAATTTTGATGTGACATGGCAAATGAGCCTAGTCAGGCAAATTTTTAAGGATACTTTTTAACTGCATGCAAACTGACAGCAGACAAGCTGCATAGCTGGATTTCAGAGGGTGCTGTCATGGGAAAGTGCCTTGCAAGTAATTGGAGCACGTTGTGTTGTCTCACCTTCCTATTTGTGTCACAGAGTTAGGCTTCATGAACCTGGAGCTCAAAGTTTGATGGGCCTAATGAGAGAAGTTAAATGTATCCATTAACTGCCAAAACAGCTGTTATAAGAGTGACTATTGGAGACTGGTCCATTGTGGCTAGTGGGGGAGCTCTCACCCCCACTCCCCTCCCTGTGATTGCTGCAAACAAAAAATTGCATTAACCCCTTAAGGACTGGACTGTTTTTGCGATGTTGTACATTTGCGACCAGGCATATTTTTACACTTTTGTGGTGTTTGTGTTTGGCTGTAATTTTCCATTTTCTCATTTACTGTTCCCATACAAATTATATATTGTTTTTTTCAGGACAAAAGGGGCTTTCTTTACATACCATTATTTATATAATCTCATGTATTTTAATTTAAAAAAAATTAAAAAAAATATGATGAAAAATTGAAAAAAATACATGTTTTTTGACTTTTACTTGAAAAATCTTTTACTCATCTACAAAAGCGAATGAAAAAAACTGCTAAATAGATTCAAAATTTTGTCCTGAGTTTAAAAATACCTAGTGTTTACATGCTTTTTTGCTTTTTTTTTGCATGTTATAGGGCTATAGGTACAAGTAGGATATTGCGGTTTCAAAACATACATTTTAAAAATTTATCAATAGTGACATTGTAACACTATTATCTGTCATAAATCTCTGAATAACACCCCACATGTACATATTTTTTTTAAAGTAGACAACCCAGGGTATTCAATATGGGGTATGTCCAGTCTTTTTAGTAGCCACTTAGTCGAAAACACTGGCCAAAGTAAGCATTCATATTTGTTTGTGTGTGAAAAAAGTAAAAAAACTAAATTGAACGCTAATTTTGGCCAGTGTTTGTGACCAAGTGGTTACTAAAAAAGACTGGACATACCCCATTTGCAATACCTTGGGTTGTCTTCTTTTGCAAATGGTATGCCATCATGGGGGTAATTCTCATTCCTGGGCTACCATACGCTCTCAAAGGCAACGTAACCAACCTGGCCATTTTCAATGTAAAAATATTTGACCCATATATTTGACCTTGTAACTTTCAAAAATGCTATAAAACCTGTACATGGGGGGTACTGTTTTACTCGGGAGACATCGCTGAACACATATATTAGTGTTTAAAAACTGGAAAACGTATCACAACAATTATATCATCAGTAAAAGTGCTGTTTGTGTGTGAAAAATGCAAAAAAAGTAACTTTCACTGACAATATCATCGCTGTGATATGTTTTACTGTTTTGAATCACTAATATTTGTGTTCAGCGAAGTCTCCCGAGTAAAACAGTACCCCCCATGTACAGGTTTTAGGGTGTCGAAGAATGTTAAAGGGTAAAATACAGTGCTAGCAAATTAAATTCTCTGGAATTTCGGCCTGGGTTGGCAGACAGGTCCCTCAAATTGCAATCAATAAAACTACTGAATTATGTAAAAATATTACATAAATACGCACGTAGAATTTAAATATATATGCATATTTATATAGTTTAAGTCTACGTGTATATTTATATAATTATTTATGTAATTTTGTATATGGACATATGTATATTTCGTATTATTTTTATTTATTTATATATACATAGATATATATACAAATTCATTCTAAGTGTATTTTGATATAAATATATATATATTAATTTTAAAATACAGTTAGAATAAAATTTCATATAGATATATACATTTTTTTTAAATTTTTATTTAAAAAAAAATTATTTAATTTAAATTACTTATTATTTATATTTTATAATAATATATATACAATATATATAGTTATTACATATATTATATATATATACGTGTGTAATTTAATTATAAGTGTATTTTTATATTAATATAAGTACATATTAATATAAAAATACACTTAGTATGGCATTATATATATATGATATATAGACATATATTATATAGATATAATATATGTCTATATATCATATATACACATATATAATTATTATTATTTTTTTAATTAACATTAACTTTATTTTTTTTTCAGATTTTACACTTGCAGGGAGACTGCCTGTCAGCACAGGCAGTCCCCCTGCAGGCAGACACATGGACACCTATTGTGACCATGTGATCGCTGTGTTAAGTGATCACATGGCCACAGGGGTCCTAATTCAGTGTGGGGAGACTGTCTGGGCTGCAGGCAGTCTCCCCACAACCGGAGCCACGCTGATCGCCGCCGGGGGAACGACGGCGATCAGGTAAGTAGCTCAGACCGTTAGGACAGTTCATGACCGTCATCGGTCGGCAAGCCAAAAATGCCGATGACGGTCCTGAACCGTCCTCGGTCGGGAAGGGGTTAAAGGGACACTATAGTCACCTGAACAACTTTAGCTTAATAAAACAGTTTTGGTGTATAGAACATGCCCATGCAGCCTCACTGCTCAATCCTCTGCCATTTAGGAGTTAAATCCCTTTGTTTATGAACCCTAGTCACACCTCCCTGTATGTGACTTGCACAGCCTTCCATAAACACTTCCTGTAAAGAGAGCCCTATTTAGGCTTTCTTTATTGCAAGTTCTGTTTAATTAAGATTTTCTTATCCCCTGCTATGTTAATAGCTTGCTAGACCCTGCAAGAGCCTTCTGTATGTGATTAAAGTTTAATTTAGAGATTGAGATACAATTATTTAAGGTAAATTACATCTGTTTGAAAGTGAAACCAGTTTTTTTTTTCATGCAGGCTCTGTCAATCATAGCCAGGGGAGGTGTGGCTAGGGCTGCATAAACAGAAACAAAGTGATTTAACTCCTAAATGACAGTGAATTGAGCAGTGACATTGCAGGGAAATGATCTATACACTAAAACTGCTTTATTTAGCTATTTAGTAATTTAGGTGACTATAGTGTTCCTTTAAAATGCCTTATCATAATGTGTATTAGAAAAAGAAAATGTATCTGCCAGGATCATATCTGCAGTTTCCTCCTAGACACTATGGGCCTGCTGAAACTGGACTCAGGAGGTGCAATGGCTGTGACACTAACAGACCAAGTGGGCACCTAATGGATTAATAGTAGGAATGTTATTCCTAAATCTGTGTTTCAGGTTGTGGAGGTGTTTTGTTTGTAAGTATAATTTGATCAGTACAGCCCGTTACTGTGATCTGGTTCTGCTCACACAGTCTGGCACCAGGGGTGGGTGCAATGTATTTAAACCTGTTACTATTGGCTGCTATCCCAAGACCCGTGACTGTTATTGGTTGTTATGTTTTAACATCATCTTGTGTTGACTTATATAAACAGATAACCCCTTCAATAAAATATCCATAGCTTTCGCTAAGTCTTGAGGCTGAGGATTGTGGGAGATGAAAAGAGAAACTCTGGTGCTTAATCCTGAGACCAGTCTAATCTTTTCATTTTACAGTTATATTTCATTTTTTATGTTTAGTATATTTGCACTTGTGTCAAAATGTGATTTTTGTTTTGTCAGCTAGAAGTGAAAAATAATTTAAGCAACTGTAGCATTAGGCTGCAACATTAAAAAAATTTGGAAATAAAATGAAGGCGTTTGAATACTTTGTGATTGCACAAATTTAGCAATGCTAATACAAATTTTAACAAACATTGATTCAATATATTTTATTATTATTATATTACAAAGATTATAAAATGTTTACGTGGAAGTGCTTACATTTTTGTGTACACACACATTGTTATATAAACATGCGCTACCAACTCCTGGTTCACATTGCACATAAATTATCAAATAATGAGGCAACAATATTTGTTAAGAACGAGAGGGGGAAAAAAACTCTTTACAAAAATATCCTTTCATCAGTAAAGCATATTTGAGTAATTATAAAATTCCTGATTCCCAAAAATATAGAAAACTTACATCAGTGTTGCAGTTTACATTAGATATTCATTAACATAGTCAAACAACATGTGATTCCTTACTAGCAGAATTCTCTTTACTAAGCTCTAACAGCCATGTGTGACTAATCAATCTAAACTATTAGACTAACCTTCTAGTACAATATATAGCATTGAAGACAAGCCTTGGCTCTGCACAGGTCTACAAACTACACATCTTATGATGCTCAGCCAGCCTTACTACTGACTTACTGAAAAGCATATATTTGATCTTCTACCTGAATAGTTTGGTAGGCAGTTTCAAAATATAAAATATACAAGCCTTGGCTCTGCACAGGTTTACGAACTACACATCTTATGATGCTCAGCCAGCCTTACTACTGACTTACTGAAAAGCATATATTTGATCTTCTACCTGAATAGTTTGGTAGGCAGTTTCAAAATATAAAATATACAATTAAAAAATAATAATTATTATTATTATTATTATTATTGGAACATATAAAATACTTCACAGAAAATGTATTCAGACTGAACAAAAAGTCATCAAAATGCACGATACAATTGCAGACAAACATTTAAACATTAGGAAATATGTATTATACATTAATAGATATTTGTTGTAGAGGGACACTTGGAATATTCCCAGGAGGAAGCAAACATATCATCTTAATTTTAACAAAAACAACTTGAATGAGCAGTTTGGTCATTATTCATTCTTTAACAGAGTATTTCTCCTTTTTCCTTAGTCATCCTAGAATAGAAGAAACAGACTGTCAGTTATCACAACCAACATGAGAAAGAAAACAGACAGCCTTGATACACAGGTATAATCTGCATAATAATAATAATTTACAGCGAACCTAGATGAAAATACTGATCCTTTGGTTAAATCACTTAGGATGATGGGAGCTGGGTTACCAGAATATATGGAGAGGTGGTTATGCCACCTTTGTAGCATGTTACATGTCTATATGCATTTAATTACAAGATTCAGTCATGTTTGCAACCAGGAGAGGATTTTAAAATTTGATTCATGAAAAGTGGCTGAAATATTTGAAATGATCAAATCTTAATAAAGACTAATCTTGGCACCATATATTTAAGTGAGCTACATTTTCCTTTATTCTAAGAAGCCAACCTTTCAAGAAATGGAGATTTAGTTCACACACATATACATTGTCAAGGTTGGCACTTGTTCAATTTTAGAAGAAATATTACAGAAGTCATATAGAAGAGGGCCAAAATTGTGGAAACTCCACGTACTGTTATTCTGTAAAGTGTAAAAGATGAAGTCAAAGTGAAGTTCAAATTTTATGTCAAAATAGCCAAACTGAAAACATACCGGACTTGGGGAACTTTTCCCTTACGGCTTAAAATTTGAAATTGACATTAAATTTAACTAATTAGCTAAGCCCTGCATCACCAGCTCAATGCAGAGAGCTTATGGTTCTTATGGAGGAAATGACTGACGCCCAGCGGACACCAAGCACGTTGTAAAACCATTGATATGTGTGATGCTTGGCACATGACATTTAGACAAAACAGCAATTCCATGTATAGAATTCTGTACATGGATTCCTAAAATATATTAAGCCAATTTACATGATTTTTACAAAAACATAGGGATGTTATACATTACACTGAATTATATAGTATATTACAATATCTGGTGTAGAAACCGTGGGCGTAATGCTCGTACAGTAAGAAATTGTCTGGCTAAAACTAAAAATCTATATTTAACAGCACACTCCAGTCATCTCACCCTTCTCTGTTATTCAGTAGGTCTGTACAGGCGCTGAACTGTTGGGTGACTGAAGATGTAGATCCTGGGACCACCATCACAAGCCCCATTAAGGATAATTAAAATATTATCTACCTACCAGCAAATGTCTATTGATGTAGGATGATTAATTTTGCAGCGTAATAACAAATCTTTAATATGAACATTTTGAAAACAAAAAGGGACATTTATTTAAAATGTGAACTTCTTTTAAACCAATAAGAGTTTGATTAGTTATTTATCTCTATTGACAGAGTAAGCAATTGGAACCCAACTCCTGGAGGAAACATGAGACTCTTCCGAAGATGGAATCAGTTTACAGTTAAATGCAGTTTTCATACCCATTCATCATCTTCTGCTCCATCCCCTTGCCCTCTCCGCTCCAATTTTGGAGAACTGCTTTGAGATTTTTTGGACATTATATTATCAGTCCAGGAAGCTCCAGTATGAGCATCACCAGCAAAGTTGCATTTTGTCACTGTTCCACCATCAACTTTGGCTAGAGAAACTGAAAAGAATATTCAATGTCAGGTCAATCACTACATTATAGAAAATAAAAATATTCACAAAAAAATGCATTATGTTTATATGATTTATCTTTCTTCATTTCAGTTAGAACAGTAATAAAACCCTGTTTGCAAACTTTGCTTTTTCTATTCTAACATCATCCATCTGCAGTTGCAGTTTACGAGGCTGTTTCCACGGTAGCTGATGGATAGGGGAAGAATTAGAGAGCAATAAACTAGTAATCTGTGTTTACAGAGCTTTTACATACGACATTTTCAATATTACTAACTACTGCTAAAGGAAGGGCATAGAAATGGTACATTAATGCTCTGGTGTACGGGCAACGGATTTAACATGGACATAGCTTATCTTTAAAAGGACTCAGCCCAATTTAATTTCTCAACTCAGGAGATATTTATTAGCACGTTTTGCAGTTACAGAAGGAAGACAGAGTCTGTACTGCAATAACATTGTAAACACTTGAATAATTAATATGATGTTTTGTTTAGGAGGAAAAGGATGTAATGTTACAGACTGAACTAAAGGTTGTATCTAAACAAAAAACGCGATTTCTATTATTCCTGCCAGGAAGACCGCAGGTTCCACTAAGTAACACATTTGTCGTGTCTACTCAGCTCCTGTCTCTTGTTTGTTGCTAACAAAGGAATTCTTATGCTGGTTGGTGGAAGCATAAATAATAAGTACCCTGTTTGTCTTTGTATTGTTAGTATGCATACAATATACCCACATAAAAAGGGTCCATCTCCCACGGTTTTCACTCGCAGCTGTTCACCCAGTTCAAGCTCAGTTTTTTCCACATCAGATTCTGGTAACCAGAATGCCAGGGTATCAGGCGGAGTCAATCTCTCAGTGATCTTTGTAAGTAACGTCTTGTTTACCAGCTGTTTCAGGTCCTCTGCTGATAGCTTGTCCGTTTCACCTTTAGCCTCTACCTCTGATGAACATAAAACAAAAATGCATATGGCATGTATTGTTTAGACAAGCAGACAATACTAAACATTTATTAATTCCACGTGGGTTGAATAATAAACATTATCCTGAGTGTAAAAGCTACTGCCAACAGCAAGCCACACCGATGTTTTAGATGCTTTAAATCAGACTCAGGGCGCTATTCACACCAGAGTGTATTTATGATGGTGTTACACTCACAGGATTGGCATCCTCCCACACCACCTCTGCAACCAAATCTAATGGCAGAATGACACATCAAAGCCATGAGAGTGACACATCCTGGCAAATGATTTTTCCAAGAGTTGCAGGAAGGTACAGAATATTAGAACTCCAGCACTTCTGGCTAAGTTTAAACACTATATTTGTTTTGCGGACATTTTATCTGTTTGTGTGTTTGTTAGAAATGTGAAAGACACAAAGTGATGGACCTGCTGTAAAGGTGAAAGCAGATTCTTACTTACTGTAAGAAGACATCAGGTACCCTGTGTTAACTTTTTTAGTATCAGAGAAGTTGGGTTCAATTTCATTTCCTTTATTATCGAACTTCCTGCGGTGTATTTTGTCAGGTTTCAGGTACAGGATGTACCAGCGCTCCTGGGTTGAAAACAATGCAAATAAAAACATGTTTTTGGTTGACAATCCAACTCCATCCTTGAGAATCCTAAGGCAGAGTTATTTTGTATTGTAATACTTTTTATAAGGGAGACAGCGTAAACATTATACTGTTGTAATAAGAGGTCAGAAATTACAGCAATTTAAGAATATTATTATTAATGAACACAACACTAAGGCATTAAAAAAAATTAATCCTTCAGTTTTGACTGATCCTGGACAGCTTAAAACAGCATAAATTTGGTTTCAGTATATATGAAGGTAAACTGTAATCTTATTGAAGTTGTTATAGTGTCTTCAGTGCTGACCACCCTGTCCTACCCCCCAAAATCCTATATTAAACTAAATAGTACAATGATTCTCTACGGAGGCATTCGCTTACGTTACCCAATGCTTCTCTATGAGGAGCATGGGATCAACCCGTCATCCTCCAGGATGGGGTAACCCCAAGGAGGGAGACTCAGTGCTGGAGAAAATGTGAGTAATTTGTTTATTATTTTATTTCAGGGTTTTGTTTTTTTGTAAAGCTGGGGAAGGTGCTAAATCACAAGGGCCATCATGACTGTAGCGCTGATATTTTAGATATGTATTCCTAACGGTACAGTGTTTCGTTAAATTCTATATTTCAATTTGCCAAAATGTGACCTATTTGGAAGTTATGGTCATGTTAGACAAGTGACTACTTTAACTTGTGACATTTCTCCCTGAAGGCAAAGCCAGAATGTTAAAATTGTTTCCAGTGATCAAGTTCTCCTCTTCTTCTCACATCTCACTAGGTGCAACTTTACAGGTTTAGGAAAAGCTACTCGTGAAATAGTAAAGATTATACTGTCCGTACATTTACAAAACAACTGAAACTGGCAAATTGTAATGGAAAAAAAAAACATGAATACAAATAAAACATATAACCAAATTCTGAAAAACAGACAATTTAGGACTTCATTTTTAACTCACACTATAATTTTGCACAATTATAGTACATGGTAAAGAGTATACTACATGTTCATGTAATATACAAGTCTGATTCGGTTAACGTAGCGTAAGCACCCTCTAGTGGCTATCAGGAAGACAACCATTAGAGGTGTGTTTAGCCCTGCAATAAAAGCACAGTTGTATCTACAAAACAGCAATGTTTTACATCGGAGGACTAAAATACCAGGAGCACTGCACCCAGACTATTTCATTGAGATGGAGAGGTCTGGGTGCCTATAGAGTACATTTAACCTATACATCTATACATTGTGCTGACAGAATTGTAAGCAAATGTAAAAAACTGTCTTAAAAATCTAAATAAAAATATGATCCTTCCCTGTCTTTCAATTCTTGGCATATAGAGCTACGCCAACAGCACATTAATCCTGGGAAATACTAGGAAAACCCCTCTGTAGATGGTTCTCCTGTTCTCCTCTAGAGAAACTAAAGCATGTGATTTTGCAGTCTCTGTAAATATTCCTTTAGTGAGGGTGGCTTGCACATTTCCAAAGGAACATATATGAACAGATTGAAAGTTGGTGCCTGTTGGTGTCATAGGGGAGGAGGCCGAGTAGGACTTATCATCTAGAAAAATGTCAAAGGCACTGTTCCCTCTAAGATGTGCGCTTGTGCGCGCACACACCCATTTTCAAGGGAGCACACATGAGGTATCATTTTTCACACAGCTCCTCGTGCCACCGGCCTGAAGGTTGGGGTGCTGCAAGGAGCTGGCTGATGGCCTATCATGAGGGGCCACAAGGTGGCAGCCTGGCCACCTTAGAGCACCCACGAAGCAGACACTCATTCAGCAAGGCAGAGTAGGCAGGTGTCTTTTCTACCGATATACATCAGGCCGGGTCGGTGAGAGACTGCTGAAGTGTTTCCAGTTGCTCTGTGCTCTCATGCACGCCCTCTGTAGTAATGCATATGATGTCACTTCGGCCCCTGCATCACTACAGAGAGCGCTGGAGAGATCAGAGACGAAGTAAAAGATCTATTCCCCACTGGACCCCAGGGAGATGATCTGATGGACTGATTTAAGCTAAAGTTGATTTATATCAATACAGGTGTCTGTAGTGTTCCTTTGATGCCCTGGCTAATCTAATATATATGTTTTTCCTTTCAGGTGACAGGTCTAATGTAGACATCTTTTTAAAATTAACTAACAAGAAAAAGAGAAACAAAAAAAGAGACATTCAGTACATTACTCACCTTCTTTCCTTTGGGGTCTGTAATACTGTGACGCGAAAAATCCACCAGAGTTCCTTCCAAGAGGACACCCTGACCACTGGAGAAAGAGAAGGATTTATTTTTTAAAAAGCACATAAAACAGGTACATACAGATAAATTGAGATTAGTACTATTTCTTCACCCTATCCAAAGCTATAATATTCAGATTCAATGATTAAAAATTATTTACATTACTGATGTCTGGAACACACAGTCCAATATATAGATTATATCTTTGAATCAAATAAATCATACATAAATATAAAACTTAGACCATAATCTGCATTACATGATTTCTTATGTTAGAGAAATACATTTGAGCTAAGAATGTACTAACCAAATCACCATTCCAGGTTAAGATATATTTTGATGTGAATTTATTTTAAAGAGTAATTTTTACTAAATACTCCACCTGGGGAACAAGAAATCAGCAAAGGAATTTGTATCTATGTCAAAGGAAGAGGGATAAAATAAATTACTTAGAACTAACTGATAATGGAGGACCACTATAAACTTTGTAACTTTCACAAACACTATAAAACCTGTACATGGGGGGTACTTTTATACTCAGGAGGCTTTGCTGAACACAAACATTAGTGTATCAAAACAATAAAACGTATCACAACAATATCATCAGTAAAAGTGCAGTTTGTGTGTGAAAAATGCAAAAAACGTCACTTTCACTGAAAATATCATCGCTGTGATACGTTTTACTGTTTTGAAACACTAATATTTGTGTTCAGCGAAGTCTTCCGAGTAAAACGGTACCCCCCCATGTACAGGCTTTAGGGTGTCATGGTAAGTTACATGGTTAAATACAGTGCTAGCAAATTAAATTCTCTGGACTTCGGCCTGATTTGTCAGGCAGGACCCTCATATTGCAATCAATACAATTACTTAATTATGTATATTATGTATAAAATATTACATAAATACGCACGTAGAATTTAAATATTTACATATTTATATATTTGAAGTCTACGTGTATATTTATGAAATTATTTATGTAATTTTGTATTTGGACATATGTATATTTTGTATTATTTTGATTTATTTAGATATACATAGATATATATAATTTCATTCTAAGTGTATTTTGATATAAATATATATATATATATATATATATATATTAATATCAAAATACCGTTATAAAATATTACATATATATATATTATATATATATAATTTTTGTAAATTTTGTAAAAATTATTTTTACATTTTTTTAGTTTATTTTAATTTACTTATTATTTGTATTTTATAATAATATGTATATACAATATATATAGTTATTATATATATTATATATATACACATGTGTAATTTAGTTCTAAGTGAATTTTTATATTAATATATATATATATATATAAGTACACTTAGTATGACATTAGATAAGATATATATACATATTATATATAGATATAATACATGTGTGTGTGTGTATATATATACACATATATTATTTTTTTTTAACGCTGATTGCTTTTTTTTTTTATTTTACACTTGCAGGGAGACTGCCTGTCAGCACAGGCAGTCCCCCTACAGGCGATCACGTGGCCGCAGGGTCCTAATTCGCAGTGGGGAGACTGCCTGGGCTGTCAGGCAGTCCCCCCGGACCAGGAGCAACACCGATCGCCACCGGGGGAACGACAGCGATCAGGTAAGTACATAACACCGTTATGACAGTTCAGGACCGTCACCAGTCCTCAATGGGATGTTTCTGGTGATAGCCCTGAACCGTCATCGGTCCTCAAGGGGTTAAAACGGACATTCCAGAGACCTAGACAAATTTACAGTGAACCTGCCAGGTTAAATTTAACTTATAACACCTCTATATGTAAGCTCGTTTGAGCAGGGTCCTCTTTAATCTATAGTTTCTGTAAGTTTTCTTGTAATTGTCCTATTTATAGTTAAATCCCCGCTCTCATAATATTGTAAAGCGCTATGGAATCTGTTGGCGCTATACAAATGGCAATAATAATATTATATGCTTGAAAAAAATAATATATATATTTGCTTCAGGAGATATTAGCTACCTCCACTCCAGCAGAGCTATCTCTGCAATTTTGTGTGCATTGTTTTAAAATAATACTCACCTCCACTCTTCCTATGATACCTCTGGCACTGGACCACTTCTACAAGGATAGCTGTCCTCCCTTAGGATGTTAAAGCAGCTTCAATGCCACTAAACCAGTATAAGAACACCATGACCTCTGTCACACTTCTATAGCCCCCAGCAAGTGTCTCTCCATCTTTGATAAGAAACAGGATAACCACCTATTTACACTAAACATGTGTACAATGACAGTAACACTAAGCACCATAACCACTGCAGTACATTGAGCACTGCAGGGTTCAGCCCAGGACATCTATCAAAAGTTCCACTTTAGGGGGGGGCGGAGCCAACTCACCATCGGAGCGGTCGCATGTCCGCGGAGCTCCGTCGACTAAGCACGATAAAGTCTTTAAAAGGGAGCCTTTTTGGAGCTCAAATCACCCTAATCAAAGCAGACGGTACCCGCAAGAATATGGGGCAGAATAACAAGAAACCGAGGCAGGACCAGCCCAGGTTCTCAGCTGACATTAGCGAGCTCTTTAGAAGGCCGCACGGTGTGAGCGGGCCAGACATGGTGGATGTGCTGGATGATTTCTCCGACGTCTTGGATGAGGTCACCTTGCATAATTCAGCTGACCTGGGCTTCTAGGGACCCCCCTGGCCAGCTCTGGAGGCAGCAAGTAGCTCAACCCCGATTACCTCACTAACCTTCTGGCCGACCTCCGAAAGAGCCTCTCTGCAGACATATCCCAAGTCCGGGAGGATGTCAGGGGGTTCACTGCCCGCTTAACCAAAGTGGAACAAACGGTGAAAGAGCATACTTCCCAAATCTTAGACCTGCAGAAGCATGTGAGGGACCTCACCACAGCTCAGATGAACTTTGACAGATAGCTAGCAGCACTGGAGGATAAGAGGAGGTGGAAACACCTGAAGATTACTTTTCTAGCACAAAGGTGCAGAACACAGAATCACAGAAGCATCTGAAATGGACGCTATCCTGTCCTCCGTGGGACCTGGTCATATCGCTCGACCACTACCACCACCTGGAATACCATGGTCCCGTTCACTCCTGCATCCCGAGGAGCAACAGGCATACCTACCACCTGAAAACAGCAATATTGGTGCTGGGACTTGTCCCCTCTCTCCTCCTTTTAAGTTGTTTTTATTCATGCCTTAGTTTGGTTTAAAAGTTGAACTACACTTAGGGCTCACTCTCCCTATACTGCCGCACTGGCCGAAACTGGGCAAGATAAGACCCAATTGCCTCCCTTGACAAAGACCATCCCCCCCAATCTATTTGACCCACGTACATAACAGGGGATGGAGCTGCCCCACTCACCATCTTGAGACGCCATAGCAAGTTATCCAATTTTGTTAATTGTTCCTCAAGGTTCATCTGTCCTATAACCATCCTGCACCACAGTTGTCACACTCATGAGCCCTCGCCTTAAGTTACCCTGGGCTCGCTACCTAGACACCACAGAGGTCCACTCGTTAGGGAGCAGGTATGTGAATAAGAATTTCACATGGTTTCTGTTATTAGTTTCACACCAACACCCATGGGCATCCGCAGGGGGGGGAGGGGGGACAAAGGAGGGCCCCCCTGGATTTTTCAGCTTGTTCTGCTATTTTTCGTGTGAGATTTAAAATGAACTGCAATACAGGCACCGGCCAGTAGGTGTATGGAGAGAGATAGGGATAGGAAGCTGCATCTATCCCTGCTTCTCTCTGCTTATTGAAACCGCAGGGGAGCAACACATGCAGCCAGAGACAGCCTACAGATCAGGTAAGTGAGGGATGGGGTGGGGGGCAGAGATAGCCTACAGATCAGGTAAGTGAGGGATGGGGTGGGGGGGTTAAAATATACTATAGATTAGGCAAGGGAGGCATGGGGGCAGCCTATAGATTAGGCAAGTGAGGCATGGGGGCAGCCTATAGATTAGGCAAGTGAGGCATGGGGCAGCAGGCCTATAGATTAGGCAAGGAGGCATGGGCAGCCTATAGGTTAAGGCAAGTGAGGCATGGGGGGGGCAGTTTATAGATTAGGCAAGGGAGGCATGGGGGGCAGCCTATAGGTTAGGCATGGTGGACAGTTTATAGATTAGGCAAGTGAGGCATGGGGGGGCAGCCTATAGATTAGGCATGTGAGGCATGGGGGGCAGTTTATAGATTTAGGGAAGTGAGGCATGGGAGGTGGGGGGACAGCCTAAATGAAGAGTCAGCAAGGAGCAGGAAGGGTCTGCAAGGAGCAGGACAGGTCTGCAAGGAGCAAGGGCAGCAAGGAGCAGTAACGGTATGCAAGGAGCAGGGGCAGGAAGGGTCTGCAAGGAGCAGAAAAAGACAGAAGGAGCACAAAGGTAAAGGAGCAGAAAGAATCAGAAGGAGCACAAAGGTAAAGTTGAAGAAGGAGCAGAAAGGGACAGCAAGGAGCACAAAGCTAAAGTAGGAGAAGGAGCAGAAAGGGTCTGCAAGGAGCAGAAAGGAATCAGAATGAGAAAGGAGCAGAAGGGTGCAAAATAAGCAGAAAGGAGCAGAAAGGTAAAGGAGCAGAAGGAGCCAAATATAGAATAATATGAAGTGAACCCTCCACTTTATTCTGGACACCACATCATAAGGCTTTGGTACATGGGCCTGGAAGGGAAACTTTGGACCTTCTCATCTCCCCAGGTAAAAACAAATATCAGTGTTAATGTGTTCACTTTTATTTACTGAGTGTCAGGAAGCACAGAGTGCCGCTGGGTAGGGGTGTTGCTGATTGGCTAGAGCGGTCATCTGGCACTCTAAGCCAATCAGTAGCTCCCCATTCATAAAAAAGTAAAAATATTTTATGAACCGGGAACTAGCGATTGGCTTAGAGCGTCAACTGTCAACTCTAGCCAATCAGCGGCACCCATGCCTGACGTCAATCTGCACTTCCTGACACTCCGTTTCAGAAGCCGAATACCACTGAGTGACCTGGAGTTGGAGGAAGCCTTTGGGGTTAAACCATTTGAGAGCGGTTTAGGCCCTCAACCCCTTAAAGACACATGACATGTGTGACATGTCATGATTCCCTTTTATTCCAGAAGTTTGGTCCTTAAGGGGTTAAAGGAAAGAGAGCACCCAGGGGCTTCCTGGCATCATAGCATTTTCATTTAGATGAAGTTGTTATGGTGGCCAGAATGTTTCTTTAATTTGCTTAAAGGAACACTATAGTGTCAGGAATACAAACATGTATTCCTGACACCATAGTTGTGAAAACGCTATTCACCCTGGCTTTATGTGATAATGACTATGCTCCTCCCCTTCATGACACTGTCAAAAAGAGGCCAAGCATAGATGTCATTACAATTATGCCCCCCCTGGAAAAATTCCTGCGGACGCCCATGCCAACACCATCTACCTTTTGCAGCTCACGCTCTTACGTCACGCCACATGCCGTTAGACCACACAGAATTCATAATATAGTCAGTAACATGTTAACTGCTCTCATAAAAAAAAAGTGGCAATATCTTAACTGCCACACTATTGTTTATCAATGCTCTATCATGTTGATGCCGGTCATTGCTGTCGTAGCAAGACAAGCTTGTGTTATTACCTGTGCACGACAAAAATAAAGAATTTTAAAAAATTAAATTAAATTTAAAAAGTTCCACTTTAGGAGCCTACAGCTTCCCATCATTAGTGGTGTACCTCTCAAGTGTCCCTATTTAGTAGGTACAGTCCTTATTTGGGGCCCAAATCTCTCTGTCCCGCTTCTATCCTACTGTCCCTCTCTTCCAGGACCTTCATATTATTGGTGAGTCTGAGTGTATAACAAAGCTCCGCCGCAATAAAACTCAAAATAAAGTGTCTTTAAATTACAATAAATTTATTTAGAAATCAATTTGTGTAATTAAGATACATTGTTCTTATTATAAATTACATTTTATTTGCATGCTTTTTTTTTATTAGTAAGTTACCTAAAATGTCTCAGAACAGTCCTGTCCCTGACCACCTACCTACTCACACCCCTTAAATTAAAGTGTTTGGTCCATTTGCCAATTTTGATAATATGTAATATTTGAGGCCTGGAGCAGTGTCCAGCAAATGCCAGGTAAAAAGTAAATACATTCAAAAACAGCTTGGCGCCTTACATTGGGGGCGCCAGGGCAGAGCAAGCAGCAGTGGTTATGGTGCATGGAGTGTTCTAAGTGAAGGAGAAATTTAATAAAATTTGAGGGGTGAACAAAAGAGGGAGGGACTAAAAAAATATGTTGCTAAAGATCGGTAAACCTTTGTAAGTACTGCCCTATATACTAGTAATGATATCCAACAGGGTAGCAAGTTACTTTTCACAAGCAGATTATTACAGGTAGCATTACCTTTATAGTACCAACAGCACCAATTATTTACCAGCTGCCCTACCTACTGTGTTATTTTTGAAATACTGTTTTTTTTTAATTAAACTTCTGCCCTCCAATCCATATTAGAATTAACCTAGAATTTATAGCATACACAGTATGTATCTCTTTAATCTCAGTATTGCTTCGCATGTCTGGGGAAGATACGCCATCCCTATTAGTACAATGACAACCCCATGCAGCCATACCGCTGGAAAGCAGCCGGCTCCCAGGGGCCAGGCACCCGCTCATCGTGAACAGGCTTGTTCTGCAGGGCGCTGTCGTGATAAATCCGGCTCATCGCAACGTTGTCAATCTCACAGGCTGCACTCAGGCCGGAAATCTAGAACGTAGGAAGAAGCTTTCACCCGGTCACAGGGACACGTGATCGGATTCCCGCGTCCTGATAGGCTGGAAGTCTCTGGTAACACTATTCTCCTGCAAACACTGTATTGTTTGCTACAATGTATCAAATGTGTTCCATTACCTTGTCCATTATTTATCCTCATGTCATATTACAGGATGAGGCTTGGGGAGGAGGATGTATATTTCATGGGCTTGGAAAGGGGGGTGTATTTCATGGGCTTGGGGAGGAGGTGTAAATGTCTTGGGAATTGGGTGTATATTTCCTAGCAGACCCAGATTCTGGACGCTGAATTTTGGGGTGATACTACTGTTAATACTGCCCATCTGCCCATCACTGACTTCAACCAGGTGCAATATCTACTTTAACCCACACAATGCATAATTAAAATGTGTTGCTACTTATTAAACCAGCTTTTTGCAAGTCTCATAAATTACTACCTCTCTCTACTGTGTCATCCTCTGTTTCTCACACTTTATTTTTTGTGCTCACTTTCTTTCTGTCCATCTCTCTCCCCTGTGTCTCTCATAGTCCTCCTCTCTTTTAGGCTGCCTTTCTCTCTGTCACTTTTATTGTTTCTGCCATACTCATTCTCCCTTACTCCTCACAACAACACACATTCTCTCTTTCATGCTCATATAAAGAGGAAATTAAACTTTGGAATTTGCAGCAGTAATACAATGCATTTTTTTCATGACATGCTCTTTCTTTCTCATAAAGAAACATGCCAAGCACCATGACAGGTGCAGCGCTCTGTAGCAGTTACCAGGAGTGCCCTGTCACCCACCATTGTAAGTATCAAACTATTTTAGAACTGTTGTATTTCTTACCTGGAGTCTGCCGGGCACTGCTCCCTGACTCCACTGCTTCTGGCAGAGAATAGAAAAGGCTCAGCATATTTGCTAAGTGCGAACCGCTGTTGCTTTCCACCAATGAGCTAGTCCTGCACTGTGGGCATAGCACAATAGAATTAGCGGAAACTCCTGTAAGAACTTTCAACTCTTCGTCAGAATTAGTGGAAGCAAGGAGCTGCAGCTGGCGGACCCAAGGAAAAATGTCAAATAGTTCTAAAATGATTTGACTGCTTACAATGGGCGGTCTACCAAGGCACTCCTGGTACCACAACCACTACTTCACACTTTAGTGGTTATGGTGCTTGAGGTGTTCCTTTAAATGTAAAATACAAATTTAGCAAGTCCAGTTTAGACAAGGCAAAGCCAAGGCAAGCTTTGAAAATGAGGAGAAGAAATACAAACATTAAGGCTTTGTGGCGGAACCACTGCCGGTTCGTGTGGTTCCCACTTGTAATATGTGTGTTTTCTCTGTATTTCGTTTATTGTGCCCGTTCCCCGTTCAGGAGTGCTTACACAAAGGGAATTCATTCACATCCCGAACGGGGACCACCCCAATACCTCATGTAGAATGTTCGAAATGGAGGGGGAAAATGGGTCTCTTTACCTTGTAAGTGGTTCCTGACCGGCTGAAGGAAGGTAATTAGCTGAGGTAACCAGTCGGGTTACCCTGGGTCCACTACAGGCTTATGTGTAAATATTGCCATGTTTTGTGCAAATGCACCATTTTCTTATGTATAAAATGGTTACTCCATCTTTATAGGTTGGGGATATTTTTTGCTGTGTTTTTTGTAATGCAGAAGAAAATTAATCTGTGTTTCTGACACGTTTTACTCCTCTTTCAGATTATTACTCTTTATTTTTTCCTAATGATTTTACCATTGACTAAATTCACAAAAATAAGAGTAACCAAACAGGATATACAGTTCCTAATGGAACTACCTCACAACGCTTTATTTACACTCAGGACTAGCTCCTGACCACATTACATTAAACCTGTGGCGACACATTTAATCCAATACATATATCAAAATCATATGGGGAATCATACAGGCACTCATAATAATACAGTACAATATTTATAAAGTGGTAGGGAAGACAAAGAATAACAGAAAATATGTCCCCTGACTGCATAAACCATAATATGCAAATCTACCTGAATATGCAAATTAACTGGCCTTGCTATTCAGGTAGTGCACATAATTGTTGCAACCAATAGGTGGCGCTGCAAAGGCCCCACAGCCAGGATAACAGACATCCCTCAAATGGACACAAGATAAGAGTCATCCACAGACTTACATGAAGTGTTAGACGTGTTCCTAGTGATGGTAACCTTCACATAGACATCTATAATATATTAAAAATATATCAAAATTGAAAATCTTATAACATAGTATTAAATTGTTTTAAAAGTTTATCCCTCAACGAATAATAATTGAAAAGCTTATCCAACAATATTAAATTGAGGCCTAAGACCTTGATTTAATGTTGTTGGATACTCTTTGCAAATTATTTACTATTTTTGCATAGACTTTTTAAATCATTTTTCAACATATTAAAAAATATATATTATATATAAAAAAAATATGAAAACCTTTAAAAAATGTTCCTAATATTAAATCCTTTTAAAAATCTATCTAAAAATATTAAATCATTTGGAAGGTTTTTCCAACAATATTAAATCGAAGCCTAAATCGGAAAAACCTGTAGTCTCCATTCGTGCCCAAAAAAGTGGAAACATTTCCTTCATGACTTTGAAATAGCATCTAGACCGCATATTCCACATGTGTATTGTTCTTACTTTTAATAGAGGCAGTTAGTTACATCTAGGTATGATCTCTGCAATGGCAAAACTGGCTTGTGTGATAAATCTCTAAACTCCTGTTTCAATTGCAATCTATTATCAATGCTAATTATTGTTATTTGTGTTGGGTTCCATTTTACTGAAATGCTTTTATTAAGTTTCAGTAAGGCTTGCCTGAAAAAAGACTTTGTCAGCTTCCATTGTATGGCTGTCTATTTGTATTCACATTAGCCGTGTGAAGCAAACTCCGTTAAATAAGTGACAGAATGCAGGTAAATTAACATCCATAGTTAGCATTACGTAATAAAACAGAATTTCTTATCGACTTCACAGTAAACCAATTTAAATGAATAGAATTTTTCACTTGTTATAAAATTATGTGTAAGCCTGTATACACATATTTATCCAGAAAGGCACCACAAACCGGAAATATTTCAGTGGTCAACTTTTTTCTCTGGGTAAACAGTATTGATCAAAGGGATGCTCTTGACACCAAGAAAATTTTATCAGAATTGATTTTATTTTGACGTTGCTATGGTGGAAGGAGTTTGTGGGTGTCAGCTTACCCTCAGAGATTAAACTGTCCCTGTTTCTTAATAGGCAGTCCCTATTTTGGACCCAATTCCCTATGTCTCTCTTTACTAGGAGTCCATGTTATTGGTGTGTCTGAGTGTATAACAGAGCTTCACAACCATAACACTTCAGTAATGTGTCTTTAAACTACAATAAATGTGTCTTTCCAAATAGGACACATTTGCATTGATTTAATATTTTTGTTTTTTTTCCAATTTGACAATTTTTATTTTCACAGAAGGAAAAGAATAAGGGGGATACAGAAAGTAAGATGGGGGGAATGGGAGTTGTCATACATTGTTACATTACCGTGAGCACCCCAGGCTCTCCATCCTCACTTGGAGGATTAGATTGAAAATATCGTGTAGTAGTCATGCATGACAACAATATATGTACACATTAGACAACAAGTACCATTAGAGACAACCCCTGGGGTTTAGAAGTTGAGTAGTGGTAATATTCGGGTACCCACTTGTATCTCTTTGTAATTATGGGGTTTCCCTTGTACCCTCTAGTTCTTTTAGCTGCTGACTTGTTGTTTCCAAGGGCTAACTTGGCATGGCGCTCGGGTTGCGCGTGGCTACCAACGGAATGTGAAACACCGAAGGTAGGGGTGTCGGGGTGGGTGGGTCGTGGTATAACATATACCACCAGGGTTATAAACTTAAACTAGTATAACATAACATGTCTGAGCTTCACTTTTTTGCGTAAGCCTGCACTCAAGTAAGGTGTGTTCCCTATATAAGTTGCGTTGTGGAGACGTGGTTGTCCTGATGTAGATTGGTCGCACTCGGTGGTCAACCATCCCTGCACCTATGTTGCTATATGTAGGAGTGCTCATTTGGTGGCTTTGGTTCGGCCTGAGATCATCACCTAAATGCGTGTATGAGGATCCCTTCCGGTGTCCCACTTTGTATCAAGTGGTACTATGCTGTGTTCTGTATAACTTCCATATAGTGTACGCTTCCCTAATTCTATGATTTGTGCTTAAATATTTACTAGCCATGTGCTCGTATTCCCAATTCGTGGAGATTTGACTTATCAGTGCTTGTTTGGTCGGTGGTCGGGGTTGTTTCCAGCACTTGGCTATCAGAGTCACTGCTGCTATTAAAGTTTGGAATATTAGTTGCCTTTCTGGGTTGTGCCAGTGATTTAGGTTCATGAATAGTAAGCCTTGTTCAGGTGTCAAGTGGTATGTGTTCCCTAACGTGTGAGCAACAATTTCCTCCACTTGTTTCCAGTATGGGGTCAGAGCTGGACAGGTCCACCATATGTGGAACATCGTACCCCGTTCCCCACAGTTTCTCCAACAATTTGGGTTGGTGCCTGGATATATTGTAGCAAGTCTGTCTGGGACCATGTACCATCTATATAAGATTTTCCTCATTGTTTCTAGGTGAGAGGCACACATGGTGAGGCTTTTGTGTGCTCTGAAGGCTAGTTTCCAATCTCTGTCTTCTAACTCGCGCCCCAGGTCTGCTTGCCATTTGTCTCTGAAGTCCGTTTGGGAGTTGGCATGTGTGTTCGTCAGGGTCATATATAATTTGGAGATGATTTTTGTGGGAGTCTTCTCGGTTAAGCACAATTGTTCCAGGGGGTGTTTGGGCTGTGTTTCAGGGTTGTCCCATTTTGGGAAGGCGGACACAAAGGATTTTAGCTGCAGGTAGGGAAAAATGTGTTTGGCCGGTATAGAAAACCTAGACTGCAGTATCGGGAATGGTATTATTTTACCTCCCTCGCATATTTGTCGTAAGTGCGTGCAACCCCCTGCGAGCCATGGTGTGTGGTCGAAGTTGTGGATGTGTGCTTGGATACTCTCTGTTGGCATGTTTCC